GCCGACTGTAGTAGTCACATTGACCCTGGAAGCCCAGATGGCAAAGGCGCAACAGATTACAGCATGAAGAGTGAATTATTTTTTACATAAACACACTTCTTACATAAAAACACACCATCTAAAATTAAAATTACAATACGAAGTTCCACTCCATTAAATCATATACGTCTTAGCTCAACACCGCACGACGAGACCTCGTCAGCATGACGGGCGTCGCAGTGCCTAACTTCTTCCAATGTAATGCACAGAGGACCGTCGTTCGTTAACACACTGGAGACTCGCAGCTCCTCGGCCATCATTTGAGGCTTTGCTCATCAACGCTACCAGAAATTCCGTCCCAGCAAAGCATAATTGATATGCGTTGCCAGTAAAAAGCTCTGGAATTTCTCGTTGAGATCGGTGGAGAGCAACACATAACGCCAGAATTACTGGGACGCAAGTGCTGTGTTGGTCGCATCAGCATCGGACAAAAATCGCAATGCAGTCCGCAGGCGTCGCTATCCCAACCCATCAGCCGAAGGGCGATTGCATCACTCGGATTTTGTTCTCCAGATCACTCCATCGCTAAGCCCTAATAAAACGGTGGGCTGGCGATGTGCTACCCTGCGCCAAATAACAGGCCCCTGGTGAGGTGACGCTGTTTTGTGAGCTAGCCCCTGAGCGGGGTGTTTCCTCAGCAGACACTCGTGGTGGGAGGTTGCCTAAGTGCCGTATTTGGTGATGTGAGCAACAAGCACAGCTTGGAAGAAAACGAGCCGATTCCCGGAAAAAGTAGTTTTATTACTGCATATGCCGCGGTGATCCTGGAAATCAGTCTTCCTGACTATGTTGACTTGAGAAAAATACCATATTGACTTCTTCAAAAAAAATCGGGAACAGCGAAAGCCAGAAAGCTGAAATTTTAGTGGAATATTCCCTACCCACGTGCAGCTCCTCAAATTTAGATTCATCCTTTACGTGCTCCCCCCTCACCCCCTCCTCACCGGATACCACATACGGCCTCGTAAAGTTCTGCCGAGGAAAATTATTATCTCGGGAACCACGAAAGCAACATCATTACAACCGAGCTAATAATAGAAAACGGTTTAAACTACACGGTTCTGTCGTCAGTGAACAGTATCCCTTCAAAAAAACTGGTTTGTCAGAAAACTGAGGTTTCGTGAAATCACCTTTTCCGAGATTTTGCTAAACCAGATCGTAATCTAAAAAAAATTATTTGCTTGCAACGTAACTGAGAGAACTTCCGAAATGGCGCTGCTGGTATCTCTTCCCTTTGCCATTCATTTGCTTTGGATAAGGCGAGGAATCGAGCCAGACATGTTTCACCTGTTGCTGGTTTTTTTCAGGATGACGTCCTTCATAAAATCAGCAGTGAAATTGAGAAGGAAATTTTACGAGGTTTGGAAAGTGGTGCGCCAGAATCCTCCGTTGCCATGCTTCCCTCGTTCGTGCCGGCATTACCCGACGGGGACGGTTAGTTAGTCCTTTGTACCTGTGCCTGTTTACTGTTTTTCGCAAAAAAAAACAAAAAAAAAAAAAAATACGCTGCAGGAATCGGTCGCGTTTTATTAATCCAGAACATTTTCACTGTCATTTTTCATTTTCTCAATCGTTACGTCAATTTTTTTGCACATTTGGAGACTTTCTTTGGCAGCCGTCACAAAAATCACATCTTCCATTGGTTTGTTTCCTCCGTGAGAGTTGGCTTAACGAGACAATGCGGTTCCCAGTCTCGTCATTTATTCGCATTTGCGCGCATTATGCCCACTGCACAAGTGTATCAGCTTTTCGTGCTGCTTCTGTGTTTACAGCTAATAATGGTAATAATGAAAATATCAATAGTAGTCGAAATAATAATAATAACAATAATAATAATAACAGTAATAATAATGACAATAATAATAATGATAATAATGATAATGATAATAATAATAGCGATAACAGTAATAACAATAATAACAACAGTAACAATAATGATAATAGCGGTAATAACAACAATAATAATGATGAAGTAATAATAACACTCCGATGGCTGGCTGTTTTCTTGTGACTGGTGTACCATCTGACATATAATTCTCCCATTTTTGAATCTCGTTTTTTGTTGCATTCTTGTCGAAGCTGCGAGGGCAAGGCATTACATTAAAAAAAGCGGCGTTTTGGTTTAGTTATTTTTCGGCTTGCCTCATTCGTGCCTTGCAGTGCATAGCTATATTT